CTCAGCTAATTGCTGAAGGATTGGCTTATTCATGGTCAGAAGGATTTGTTGATCACTGATATCAGTGGAGTAAACAGTGTGTTGCAGAAGTTACACCTTCCAGAGACTAGAAGGAGCTGGAAAGCAGGATTAAGGGATTGCTTTTGTTTTGAATCCTTTATCTCCACAAATAGTTAAGTGACTTCCAATTAAGTTCTACAAATGACCAACTGGGTGCATTAAGCTGGGGAAGGGATGGAAAAACTGGGGGTTCTGTCTTGTTTTATACTCAGTAACATTGCTCCAGTTTTTTCTGTATATATGCAGCTATACACACATGCATGGATTTAGATTGCTGGATAATTGGTGGGGTGTGACTGCATCCAGAAGCCCGGATTGTCCGGATGTTCCTGAAATGCTGCCTGCAAGTGTGCAGGGGGAAACCTGAGTGCAAGTGAAGGGGACTCTGTGAGGTCAGGCTGGAATGGCAGAGCCCAGTGGCTTCCCAGTCTCCTCAGGCAGTTCAGGGTTCTGACTCTGCCCAGGTCTCCTTTCTGGTTTCAGTTTAGACCATAGTTCATAGTCAGACTATCCAGACACTGTATTTACATAGCACTAACAGGCACTAGAGTTTGCAGCCAATGTCTTAAACCAAATCCTTCTTCTCTTACACTGAGCTTCAGGAAGGCTGCAGCAATAAGAGAAGTGTGTAACTTTGCTAACCAATTTTGATAATTATCTGAATCTTTTATTTCTAATCAGAAGGTCAAATTGTGATGACAGCCTTACATTTTTTCCAAGGTAACTCTTTGTGTCAGAAAATATGACCACAGTTTGGCCTGGAATTTGAATGTGTTGTATATCAGATAACTGTTATCACTTGGTTGCAAAGGAGAATATCTGCATTTCATGTAACTTCTGCTCTCAAAGACAAATAAAAGTGAGCACCTGACACTTTTCCCCCAAGCATTGCAGTAAGTGGCAATTTTTAACGTCCTTCTGCAAATGTTTCATTATGGACTTTGGGGGTTGAACAAAAGGGAAAGTAAAAATATGTGAGAACTTGTTAAATCTCAGTACCTCAGAAGCAAAGTCTTGTTATAAAATTCAATCAAATGTATTTTTGCTTGAACTGAGGCAGGTATTGTAAATGCAAAACTGTCCAGTGGGCATCTCCCTGATCCATTTGCACTCCTATGTGTGTGTTTAGGAGCTCGAATTCTTATGTATCTCTTCTCATCCTTCCCCAACTCACATTTCTAAAAGCAAATCTGAGTTTGATTCTATAGAACTTTGGTGCCTACAGGTGTTCAAAAAAAAAGGTGAGTAAAAGTATCTCTGTACAAATTTTGAAGTGGTTTCCTAAAATTCTGCCAGAAAAACTAAAAACCAATGCTCAGACAATCTTGTTGCTGCATGAGAACAGTTGACATTTTCCACAGGTATAGAGAGGACAAACTGTTGGATGAGAACATTTTTACATTTAGTTAAACTTTGTGAATAATTTTTGATGTTGCTATAGGTATGTACAAAAAGAAGAATACTGTAAATAAAAAGACCTTTACCAGAACATCTAGATTTTTCTCAGCTTCCTGAAGAAATATGAGCTTTCCATGTCAGCTTCTCTACAGCCTGAGATTCACAGTGGGAGACTTTCCTGGTCACCCAGAGCTTTCCCAACTTAATGAGGTAGCAGCAGCCTGTGAATTCCAGGATTGCTTACAGAACCAAAGCAAATGAATCATCAGGATTTCTGCTGTTCTTGGGTCATTTCTCTGCTGAAAAGCCATCCTGACAGATTTTGATAAGTATGTCCTCTCTTTATACATGGGTCTAGTGATGGGAGTCCTCCTTTCAGAGGTTACACGTTGTTACCAAGTGAAGTTGAGCAGGGCATTTGGGACACCAGCTGTCAGACAATGGTACCCTTTGCTCTCCCCACCACTTTAATTCACATTTGGACTGTCTTTCCCACACAGAAAATCAAATAAAGCATCATGTGGCTATTGTTCCAGTCACAGATTTGCATTGTGGCAGTGAAAGAAGCCAAGTAACCTGCGTAAAGCAGCTTCTGCCAGGATATTCTGAAGTCTAACATCTCATCCTTGTTAATATTTATTTGTACAGACTTTACCCATTGCCATGGATGCTCTGCCTCCACAAAACTGCTGAAGCAGTGATGCAGCAGGCAGAGGAATAACTAAGCCTGAGATTAGGTTCTTGAAGAGTAGAAAATGGCTTTAAAAGTGCTTTCTTTGGTAATCTTGAAATGTGAGCACAAGAGCCATCAGTTAGCAAATGGTGGTCAGAATCATCATGGCTTTTCTTCAGGCTGATTGCTACAAAAAGAGACATTCTGAGGGCGTTGATGCACCAAAACCTGAATCCTCAGCCAGGAGCACAGTGAGCAGCTGGAGGACCAGGCCAGCAGGCATTGTATGCTTTGTGACAAGAAGCAGCTCCAAGGTGTGCCCCTGCAGCCCAGTGTGCCCAGGTGTGGGAAGGGATGGGGTAAGAGCAGCAGCCCTGTCTTAACAGCATCACCAGGGGTGCTGGGCACCGGCACTGCTCTCACTGCAGAGAGGAAAAGAAAACCACAAACCAAACTTGTTTGGACAGGGACACCCTTGCTCAGTGCTGCGAGGTCACGCCTGGATCCCACGCCTTGCTTTGAGCCCCCAGTTTAGGAGAGAGGTGGGAAGACTGGAGCGGAGGGTGAGTGTTGGGCTGAGAGGTGGCAGGCACAGGAGGCAGGAAGGCTCCACCTGCAGCTGCTGCTCCAGAAGTCCCAGGGGAGATGCAGCTGAAGCTGCGGCACTGGAGGAGGGAGCGGGGCGGGCTGGGCTGGGCTGACGCTGCCCTGGCGATGCCAGCGCTGCCATGGCAGCCTTGGGGTCCTGCCAGATGCTGTACAGGGCCCTGGAAGGGAGCTGCAGTTAAGGCCCTGCAACAGCACCTCGGCTCTTGGGGGAGGTGTGAGTGAAGGTGTGTCCATGTTTGGAGCACTGTACCACTGCTGTGGGTGCTGTGTCCGGGCTGGAGCAACAGAGACAGGTAAAAAGCTCTCTCTGTGGTGCAGGTTGGCCAGCACTTGGATCCAGGTGATTAGAAGCCATCTGTAGCTCTTTGTGCTTGGGACAGCTGCTCAAAGGACCCTGTTCATGCGGAAGGATGGCTGCAAAGAAAAAGGAGGTAGTGCTGCAGGTCAGTAGTAGCCAGGCCTTTACCAGACCTTATAAACTGTTAAGTGCAAAGGATGGAGTTCAGTCCTGGGGTGTCTCAGATTCTGCTGGCAAAACCCCACTGCGAGGTCCTCGTGGGGAAGAGGCATCCCTGGAGGCAGGTGGGAAACGTGGGAGGACCTGGCAGTTCACGCGTGTCCCCAATCAGGCCTGTGGGGTGTGAAGACTGCTGCTGCAGGGCTGCAGGTTGTGTTTGGGGCCACTGGGGCCTAGCACAGGTTTGGCTGCTGTCAGAGACCAAAATGCCTCTGTTTTATGAGGAAATAGCTCAGACATGTAGGAGTTTGTATGGGGTTGGCACATATTCTGGATGGCAAGAGTTACTGGATGTTTCTTACCAGGTCACATAGTCGGAAAGATTGCTGTAAAGTTAAAAAAGCCAGAAGGTACAAGAAAGACTGAAAAATCTATTTCACAGTGGCGTGTAGAGGAATTTTTTTCCTGTTTATACTGCACAGATGACCTAGTGATGCTTTATAACTACTGCATGAGAAGAAGGGGGTTCTAAGAGCAGGTCACAATGCAAAAACATTGAAAACCAGAAATGGGTTCTGCAGATCTGATTGAAATTTTGAGACCGGTTCAGTCTTCACAAGAGAGAAATAATGAAAAGTATTATGGGCTCTTTGACCTTTTTTATTCACTGTTTAATCTGGGAAATGTGAACATGTGTAACAAGGAAAGAGGGGCATTTTATGAAGGTAGGAATAGTTTCTGTTGCTGATTGTCCAGGTGTGTTCCTGTGGGATGGGGAGCTTTACATCAACTAGACCATGCCCCTTTGGCAGTGAAAGGAAATCTGGGTCTACATCTGCACATCTTGGATTTTTTACATCTGCAGATGAAAGCTGAACCTGTGTAAGACATGAGGGGATGTCCTGGGAGTGATCTCCTTTTGTTAGAGAAAAGCCAAGTCCAAGCAGCCTCAGGACATCCAAATTAGCAATGCACCTTGAAGAGTGCCCACAGTACTTGAGTCCAGCATTTGAACTTATGGCCAAATTCATGACTACAAAATACTGTTATAAATAATTTAGATTTGTTAGTATTCTGTGAAACACTCAGAGGGTGGTCCCAGCATTAGGAATAATTAAATGTTGTAGTTCTGCAGGTGTTCTCTGAGAAAACTAAGCTTGGGTCATGTGCTGAGTAGGCAAATAAACAGAGGTGTCTGAACAGCTCCCTGTTCCCTGAGTGGGACAGGGCCCAGTGTGACCCCCAGTGACACAGCTCTGAACAGCTGTGAGAGAGCATTTCATTTGCACTGGAGTTCCCACTCTTGGAATTCTTGGCTGTAAGATTTTAGCAGCTCTTTAATGCCCATTGGTGTTAATTATTGTGAAATAGCTGGCCTTGATGAAACTGTCTTCCACTGCAGTCTAAATGTAGTTGGAGTTGATGCTACCCACTGAAGGAGTCAGGAATTTTTTTTGTTCAGGATGAACAAAACCAGATCTTGCATTTATTTCTCCAGAAGCCTTTTTTATTTTAACTTGCTGTGTTTTTCTAAGTACATCCTGAAGGGCAAGTCCTGCAAGATGGGGAAAATGTGAAGGATTATATCCTTTCTAGTAACAGTATTGGGAGTGTGGGATAACAGAGTGGGTGGTGCTGTGTGTGGAATGGTCTAGGGCATCCTTGACAGGGTCAATCCCTGAGCAAGCTGAGCTAATGCTGAGTTTTGTGCAGGAGATTAAATGAAGGACTCCACAGGCCCCTCCCAGCCTAGAACTTTCTGTTCTCTGCTTACTGTACTTTGGAAGTCTTTAGGTAACAGCTGGGGATTCATGTAAGGACATGCTGGGTTCAGACCACCCTCCAGTGCCCACACATGTGTATTTACTAGTTTGGTTTACCAAGGCTGAAACATCTCATATAGTAGAGTTTGTGCGCAGGCAAGGTGAGAAACTGCTGCTGGAGAATCAGGTGGTTCATAAACCCTGTGAGGACTGGGATTGGATGAGGTGTGGTTCAACTGGAACCCTGGGCAGGCAGATGGAGATCCTGACAAGGGGCTGTGGGTCTGTGATCCCAGTTTGGGGGCCCCAGCCAACCCCCAGAACAACCCTCTGAAAACTGAGTCTGGGATCCCCAGGCATCCACTGTTCCAGTAGTGCCACTAAGCAGGGGGGGACTTGCCCTTGGCTGGATGCTGCTGCCCTTTCCCTCTGCCTTTCCTTGGATTTTGTGAGACATCCTGATCAGCTGGTCAGAGGTGAGAGAACCACAGTCAGAGGAATTTCCTGAGTGCCCAGGTAATGCCTCTTCCGGCAGGTTTGTCCCTCTGGAGTAATTTGTCAGTATGTTTGCAGCAACTGGGTAGTACCTGATGAATTACTGTGGCTTTTACTGTGTTTTTCAATTTTCCAAACAGATTAACATTACTAGCCAGGAGCTTTGGGAAGAAGTGCTTTGTCTCAAAGGACTCATCGGTAAGGGTTTGGTCATCACACTGAATTGTTCTTGTTCTGTGTTAAAAGGACATCAGGATTGTTAGGAATTACCAGTGTTAAGGATATTTAGTCAGTCTCTCCATTCCCCTTACCTGGAATGGAAGAAAAAAATATTCCAACCAAGTTGAGACCAGCAGGAGGTTGTGGTCCTGTTCATTTATGTGGGACAGTCCTCATAGAATCTAAGTGCTGGTCTATCCAGTCTCCACTGTTTGGAACAGGACTACCCTCAGCACAAGGAACAGCCCTGGCTTCCAAAGTTCTTAGGAAAACCTCATATGCTCTGCCTCTGTGCAGCAGGTTTCCCTGGGAAATTTGCTATCTCCAAGGTCACAGCCATGTCCATGTTTCTACTTAAGACTCCTCCACATCGTTCTTAGGTTGTTATTTTGTAATGTAATTCTGTCCTCTGATGCAGCATTTCAAACCTTGCAAGAGCTTCCACTTCAGAGCTGAATCCAGCCCTTGTAGCACATGGTCTATTGGTCTGTGTCTAAACTGACCCATTTGTGCCTCGTTCTGACCCATTTTCCTGCTTGCAGTTGTTGACGTGTTTCAAGCCTGGTGCGGCCCGTGCAAACCAGTAGTGAATCTGTTCCAAAAAATCAAGAATGAAGTTGGCAGTAATCTCCTGCATTTTGCTGTGGTGAGATCTCACTTGGTACTGCTTAAAATACCCAGTCCTCTGAAATCAGCTGAGGTTTAAGGGCTGAAGTCACTTATCTTTCCAATATTTAGCCCAAACCACAGTAGTGCAGGAGTTGCAGCTGCTGGGACTGAACCTGCCACATAGAGGGGTTTGGGTATATCTATATGAATTCATATAATTAAGGACTTTCAGGTTTCAACTGTTCTATGCTTTCCAGATTTCTAATTAAGCAAGAAACAATAGAGTTATTAACACATTGCCTCTGATACACAGGGAGAGGCTGAAGGAGCTGGTCACCCTGGAGAGGAAAAGGGACAGATGTCCAGTGGGGGGAGGATGGAGAAGGCAGAGACTGATGTCTGTCAGGGAAACACATCAGCAGGACAATGAGATAATGGGATAAGTTGCAGCAGGGAAAGGTCCAAGTAAATAGAAAAGTATTCAGGTGGGAGTGTAGGACACTGGGACAAGTTCCCAGAGTGCTGTGCAGAGCTGATTCTTCAAAAAGCTCAAAACTGACACAACCTCCCGTAGCACTGAGAGCAGCCCTGTGGTGACTTTGTGTTCTGGTGCCTTTTCTGCTGCCACTGCAGCTCCTCCTGGCACTTCTCAGCCTCATGGGCAGGAGCCCTGAATTCACTTTTCAGACTTTTTCTCTGGCACTCACCCAAGCAAGCTGCTGGGAATGGTTATCCCTGTCCCACAGGAGTGCTGCTCCAGCTCCTGCAGGAGACATCTGCCTGCTCTCAGGCTCTGGAACTGAGCTGTGAGCTGGCTGTGCCCTTGGCTCTCACCAGTGTTATTTTGTCCCCTGAGTCTGGGACCCAGAGCTGTTTTCCTGTGTGTGTGGCATGAGTGCCAGCTAGCTGAGGGTGTCTGAGTCCAGGCACTTGTGTGTGCATCCCTCTGGAGCAGAAATGCTTTTCTAGAAACACCTATTTTATTTTACATTCCTTTTAGGCTGAAGTTGATTCCATTGATGCTCTGGAAAAATACAGAGGACAATGTGAGCCCGTCTTTCTCTTTTATACAGTGAGTGAAAATATTTTCCCAGTGGTTGCATAGCAATATATATGACCTGCTGGTGGGAACAACAGTCCTTTGGGGAGGATGTTTTATTTCTTGCACATGTTATGGGACAATTTTATTTGCTCTGTATCTGCTGGTAATCAAATGCTGTGCAGATAAGAATATACAGCCAGTATGCTGCCCTGTGGAGCCTTCAGGTTCAGCCTCCTGCTTCTGCAGGACCTCACTCCTCTCACAAGCTGCCTTGCTTCATCCTCGTACTGATGAGGAGACACAGAGCAGGTTGTTCCAAGGTTTCCCTCTTGCTGTGGAGCAGAGCAGCTCTGAGGGGAGGAGTGTACTTATGATGTGGGTGATGTGCTGCTGTGGGGAATTCCAGAGCCCAGAGAACACAACCTGAGCACTTGCTGACTGATTTGCTTTCCACACCTTCCAGGGAGGAGAATTAGTGTCTGTTGTAAGAGGAGTAAATGCACCATTGCTGCAGAAGACCATCCTGAAACAGCTGGCAGGGGAAAGGAAGCGTTTACATGGAGGAGAGCTCATGGTGGTAATGGGTCACTAAAGCTTCAAACACCTGTAGATGTGCATGCAAGAGGAGAGCTTCAGCTCCCCAGGGCCAGCATAGCTCTAAAGTAGAGCTTTTCTTGCAAAAGTCCCCTTCTCTGCCCAGCCAACCTCCTAAGCCACTACCACAGGCACTGGCTTTGTGTTTGTGGTCTAAAGTAATGACATTTCTCAGGAGCAAAACTGTCTTTCTTATGTTACCTGCTGCTCTGAAGGCATCTCTAAAGCCTGCAGCTCTCTGCTGATGTTGCTGGCTTGTTCTTGGGAATGCTTTTCCCCCAGCTCTTACTGTGCACTGACTGAGAGCTCAGCAGGTGACCCTGGACAGGCAGATCCTCTGCTGTCCCTGCTGAGCTGACCTGGCCCAGGACAGCAGGAGCTCTTCCTGCTCTGGGGGAGCTGGGACGTGGGGCCCTGCCTGGCACAGGCTCACCTGGAGGGGAGGTATGGGATGTTCCTGCCTCATCCATGTGCTCTTGCTGCTAGGTGCCAGACAGAGCCTTCTCCAGAGAGCCTGGAAGCACAGCTCCCCTTCAGGAGGAACAACAGCAAGGACTAACAGGTAAGGCAAGGCTCAGGTGTAGGATGTTCTCTGGCCCTTGAGTTGGAACCTTTAAAAGCTGGAGCCTTCAGTAGGGATTCAGCTGCATTCCTCCACCTGACACAAGGTGATGGGGAGAGTCACCTTGAAACACGCCCCTAATTTGGGAGTCTGGCATTGTGAAACTGGGGGTATTTATCTTTCCAATGTGTTTTATCTTATATTTGCCCCGCCCTCCCCCCTTGCCTTTTGGCTGGCAACCGCTCTTGGAGACTGCACATGGCTTTCTGTTTCCAGGTGGTTTTTAAAAGAAAACACAAATGCTTGGGCTCCAAATCTGCTTACACCATCTCCTGCCTTGTCTAAAATTAGCCCAAAATTCCCAAAGGCTTTTGCATCTTCTCCTAAAAGGGACATTTTTTCCTTGGCTTTGCTGGGACAATGTTGCATCCTGTGCACACCAAATCTTAGGCTCCAGAACGTGAAAATGGAAGCAAAACCCTCCTGGCTTTAACTGAAGCACCACGGGATGAAGGGGCGTGTGAGGAATGTTGGTCTCTGCTTCTCCTTTCTGCGCCTATTGTTAATTTCGTTCATTTTCTTCCCTCGGAGGCTGACGCACCCATCGGGTCCGGGATGACAACCGCAGCCGTGGAGCAGATGCGCCCTTTTTCAATAAATACGAGATTTTCGTGTAGCAGAGCAGCACCGGTTCCGTGTCCTTGGTGTCCCTCGGTGCCCCGGCTGCGCGCGGCCCCTTTAAGGCGGGCGCGGGGGCGGCCCCGCCGCGCTGCGGCTGCGTGGGGAGGAGGCTCAAGTCGCGGGTTCGAGTCCCGGCGGAGCCGGCCCAGCCATGGCCGCGGCCCCCGAGCCAGCGGAGGCCGAGCCGTGCCCGGAGCCGCCCGCGCACCGGCTGAGCGTGGCGGAGCTCGACCGTGAGCTGGACTCTCGCAGCGAGCTGGTGCGTCCCGAACCTCCGTGGCGGAGGCGGCACGGCCGGGCCGCGGGGCTGTGCCTGCCCGGGCGCTCCGCAGGGCCGGGGGTCCCTGGGCCGCGCCGGGGGGCGGCCGGAGCCCTCACGCGGCGGCCGCGAGGGGCCGCGGCTCCCTCCGCGCCCCTGCCGGGCAGGAGGCAGGGCCGCGGCTCTCAGCACCCGGGCGGGAGGGTCGGCGGGGGCGTCCCGGCCGGTGTGGGACAGTTCCTGTATCGTGACACGGGTCGCTGTCATTTACATAAATTTCTCGTGCTTCACCGTATATAGGGAAAAAAACCCCCCAAAGTTCTGTGTGGCAGGTGCCTTATGTAGCAGGTACAGAGTCAGTAATTTAATTTCACTCTCGCTGCAAGACCCTTTATAGTGCAATAGCGTGTTTATTCTCAGAACATCGTAAGTATTCTATGACTGCGGAAATAAGTCTCACACAGCCTCCAAGAAGGAAATATCCTCACTCAGCCGGGTGAAACTGTGTGAGCCTGCCCTCGGAGCTCTTGCCTGCCTTTCTGGGCAGAGGTGTGTGTGCATGGGTGCTTTTTATGTGGCTGTAATTACGGTTTGGAAGGCAGAGTAGGCAACCTAAACTCAGGCTGTGGTTTCCGATGTACAGATTGACGACAAAGAATTCGACATTCCTCAAGTTGATACCCCTCCAACGCTGGAGAGCATCCTAAATGAGGTGAGTGAACCATCCGACACGGGAGTCAGGTGAGGCAGCACATGCTCCTTTTCCTCTACTCTTACTGTGATTTTCCTGGAAAACAAAATTGTAGAGCTTCATGGTTTCCTGATGCTGATAGCTAGCAGGTGCATACTCAGTGGAGTAATTGCTCTATAGCGTGTGATATGTTTTTTTTTTGTTGTTGTTGTTGTTGTTTTTGGGTTTTTTTGTGTTTGTTTTTTTCTAAATAAAAATATCCACAGCTGCAACATAAATGGGTTTCATCAAGTCCAAGCACATTCATCTGTAGATCTGGAGAGTCACCTGAAGTCTAGCCTATTAAAGGTCAGGGTTACCAAACAGCTGTTTTTAGCTAAAAGTAATTGCAGAGTATTCAGAGTAGTTCTGAAACTGTGGGAGGAGATGAGAACTAGATTCCTCACAGCTTCATTTGTGTTGTTCCTTTCTCATATAAGGTGTCTCAAACAGTCTAAAAACAAGAAGAGTAGTAGGGTATAGCTGTGTCTTGTTTCTGCTGGTGCCTTGAGTAGTGGAAGTTCAGTAAATTTGGGTTATCTCAAACTGTCAGGACATGCAGTGACATCCATGTCAGAGGAGTAGTCTTAAAATTGAGAGGTATTAATGAAGAAAATACAGTTCAGTGCAGGCAAAGTCTTATTGCAGCATCTCAGTAAATTTAGGATGGGCCAAACACTTCTGAAAAGGATTTTAGCAGAGAACAATCTGTCTGAGCCAAAAAGACAAACAGCTGCAGTTCAGAAAGAGATGCTTAATGAGCACAGGGCTGCCAGGTGTAAGTGAAGTGAGGGGCAGCTGCTCTGCTCCCTGCTTGTTTGGCATCAGCTGGGGGATTCTGTTTGCTCCCTCTGGCTTTGTGCTGAGAGACCAACAGGAGCTGCACTGGTTTTAGAACACATCAGGGACAACGCCGTTTTGAAAAACTGTAATAAAAAATTCCAGGCTAAGACTGAAAGGAGAGAAGGATAGCAAACAGAAGAGCTGAGAAAAGAGCACAATCAACTTTCGTGTCAGCTGGAGAAATTTCTGGGCTCTTGATGCCACTTGGTAAAATGCTGGAGTAGATGATGATAATTCTAGGCCTTCTCTTGGCAATTTGGTGACTTGGAAACAGCTCTGTTAAAGGGCGGTTAAAATTTTGATGCTATTTGGGGAAGAAAGGTTAGCTGACTTGTTCTCCAGACCACTTCTGTGATTTTTGTGAATTCTGGAAACCGTCCATAGAATCAGCCCAGTAAAGTAATAAATATTTCTAGGTTTTAAGTCTGAGGCTTTCTTGTGCACTTCTCCATTTCCCTGCTGAATTGATGCTGCTTTGCTAATGTTTCAGTTAAGTAGTTGTGCATTTTGAACATTTAGTAAGCTGTGGTGATTCTTGCCCTCCAGACTGATGATGAAGAAGAGTCTTTCATTTTGGAGGATCCCTTTCTCTTGAACATTGATAACACGGATACACACTCCTATGACACCTCTTCTGTGGCTAGCTCTGACAGTGGGGACAGGACACACCTGAAAAGGTACTGCAGCCTCATACCCTGGGAGGTCAAACCATTTGTGAAGGGCTTCTGCTTACATCCATTAGAAACAAATCCTCCTTTTTTCATAAACGCTGTTATTCCTCCAGGATCATGTAGGCAAAAATGGGATTTGTAGTTGCACTGGGGGCTGACCTGTTTGAGCAATAATGGCATTTTATGGGAGATGGATTAGTTAAATTTCTCCAAATTTTAATGGAAGCTTCGAAGCACTGAATCGTGGTGACTCTAAAGAAAATGTTTCAAAGGGGTGTCTGACCTAGTCTGCAAGTAGTTGGTGGTTATTTTTAAAAGGCAACTGCTGTCACTTCTGTGAGTGGACTACCAATATTGACATCTAATACATGATAATTAACTCTACTACTGCTGACATGTGCCATTAATTACTCAAATGATGGCCTGAGCCACTCCCATGGCTGCCTTGTGTGCCATGAGCATTTGCACAGGATATAAACACTCTGAAGTCTGATGGTTTATGTTGATATAGGACAGACTCTCCATCCCTTCTTTTTTCAAATAAGATTATTTGTACTGAGAGAAATGTTACCTGGAATTGCTTAAACTTTTTCCAGTACAGAATATGCAGAAAAACCTGGAGGTGTTCTGTCACCTTTGGGTAAGGCTGGTTGCCATGGTTATGGGTCCTTAGTCATAATTCCAGCTACTAACAACATATTTATAAATCTCTGTGGGAGCTGCTTGCTTGTGCACCTCTGTAGAGAGAAGAACCCAATGTTTCCCTGGTAGTTTTGGGAATTTGGCTCTCTGGTGATGTGAGCTTGGCAACAAAATTGCAGTTTTGCTGCGGAATTTCCCTGTCCTGCCTTTTAGAGTTTACCAGAGCTGTTTTGAAATTAACTGATCCTGCACTGGTTAGTTTAAAAAGACATATTCTCCATAAACAGAAGCACTTAAGCTTTCATATCAGGTGAGATGTGTATTAATTGAAGGCTGTTCTCTGCCATACATCCAGTTTTCCTACAGGTCTGCATTCTGCTAATGAGGCTTTTCCAGTTGTGCATTTTCTGCAGATACTCATTTACAGGCTTAAACTTCCTCACTCACTGAAAGAGCTGAAATGTTGCTTTCAGGATGTATTAGTGAATTCTAAGGCTTGCAGATACGTGCTTGAAACTGACCATTTGTTTGGGGAAGTAAGTTTTTTTACTCTAGGAGCTGAGTTAAGACCAAACTGTGTGCAGGCACAGCAGGGCAGAGAAGGCTTTGCTGATTATCTCATGTCTTACCTCATTCTGTGGCCCCAAGAAGAAGAATGGAAATTGAATGGGTTACAGCTGTATGCAGAATTTACCTGCTGGCTTGGCTGTGAGTTAGGCACAGTTCCAAGCTTTTATTCTGCTCTAATGCTTTTTGGTTTGTTTCTTAATTCCTTAGGAAGAAAAAACTCCCAGATTCTCTCTCACTCCATGGATCAGTGATACGGCTCTCCCTCCTGAAAGGAATTTCTGCCCAAGTAGCATCTGCAGCAGTAAGTGTCATCTTCTGGGCAACTCCACTAAGAAAAATTTGAAACTCTTTTGGTATGTGTGAAGGGGGTGTGTGAGATTTCCTGTCTGGCCCAACTGTTAGTTCCGTGTAACACCATGTTAGGGGCATCAGCTACTAGCCTGTAGTCTAGGCAGCAATGAAGCAGGGCTTAGCTGACTTGCTGCATTAGTGATGTGGTGGGTCACTTTTAGCACTGATTTGTGTTGTTAGATGTCACAAAACTTGGTGGGAAATGTTCATATAACATAAAAGTGTGCTTGAAGGTGCTGGAACTGCGTTTGCTCAATGCCTCCAACAGACACGTGGCTCTTTGAGAAGAACACAGTAACTTTCACACGGAATTACAGGATATTCTGCTTCCTCTTTCTGGGCATTTCTAGCCAATGGTTCCCTCAGCTCTGTTTGCCCTGCTGGGGCCATTAAAATGCAGCTGGTGGTGATTTTTCTGTGCGTTGTAGTTGTTCTAATTATTAGACATGCATGATCTATGAGTTGTGTCTCTCACGGGGTCTCCTGTTTCCCCAGGACAAAGTGGATGCTGGCTTGCCCACTGCAATTGTAAGTACTCATACAATTTTCAAGGATTGTATATTTAGTTTTCATGCCAGTTTGTTAAAGCAGTATTAAGACAGCTGATAAATGCATCTTCCTTGAATTTTCAAGTGGGAGGAGCAGCATGAAAGCTCCCTGGGGCCAGAGTCCAGCCTTCCTTCATTGCCCGGCTGCCCCTCTGCTGAGCAAGCCCCACACCCTCCCTTTTTTATATCATCACCAGAGTGTCTTAGCTGAGCACCTGATGTGTCTCCATCTGTTGAACACACTGAATTTCCCTAATTGTTTCTTCTTTGCCAGTTTTTTATGGAAACTTAAACTGGAGTGCTGCAAATGATGGGTTTAAAATCTGTCTCTCTGTCTGAAGTATTAACTAAAAAGCTGTCTGAAGGATACTCCTGCTTAGCAATTTGCA